CCTCCTCCTCCTCCTCCGCCTCCTCCTCCTCCTCCTCCTCCTCCTTTTCCGAGCCCGAGCTGCTGTCTCGGTGGGGGGGTGATGATCACCAGAACTACCGCCAAGACAACGCCGACGCAAATAGAGCAAGCGCAAGCAGGGCGGGGGGTTGCGCGGCCGAAAGCGCTCACACCAAAAAGACAGCTGCCAAGCCACGACGACAACATCACAGAGGATGTACCACCTCCGCGCGGCCAGGCACCCAAAACGGCCGAACGCTCACCCTGTTTAAGCAGGCGCAAAGGCCGAGATCGTGTCCCTCCGCGCATTTTCAACTCACGTAGCAACGCCCTCAACAAACTCATTGTCAGCGACGGCTCGTTCAAGCGGTGAGGTCTTCCTGGAGTCCGTCGTTCAGGATGGGCCCTTGTGCGAGCAGATAAGTTTGGCAATCTTCTCCATGCGGCCTGCGGGCCAGTCCCATGTAGTTTCGGTCCTCGCCAGAGGTCGAAGGATGGTGGTGACTTCGCTGTGTACATGTTAACGCAGCTTGGAATGGGCACTTCTGAACGCTATCTTGACTGTGCGGCGGTGCTCTGGTGTCTGCGAGGTCCCCGCGAGGCCACACGCGGAGTGCGCTTTGGAGTGCACTCGAAGTCTCGAACGTCTAGGCCTGTTGACACCTCGCCCACGCCACAGCCTCCGATACAGATGCGGGGCGCGCGACGCGGTGGGAGCAAGGGTTGCCACATCGAGCGCAGGCCAGCCTGCCAAGCTTTGGGCTGACGCGCATGGCATGGCATCACGGGCGAGCACGCTGCCCTGCTCCGAGGGGTGGAACGTTCTGGCGGCGGGCACAGCAGCCGACGGCGGCTCCCGCGGCTCCGAGGGACATGGCCGCCTGCCCTGGCCTGCCGGCCTCTCGCCGTTTCCGTGCCCCCTTCTTCTGGCGCGAGAGCTCCCCTCCTCCTCCTCGTCCTCCTCCTCCTCCTCCGCCTCCGCCTCCTCCTCCTCCTCCTCCTCCTCCTCCTCCTCCTCCTCCTCCTCCTCCTCCTCCTCCTCCTCCTCCTCCTCCTCCTCCTCCTCTCGCTCGAGCTCTGGGGAGGGGCGGGCGGGCCCGAGGTCCATCTCACCGCCCTCTCGCAGCGGAGGCCGACGTGCACGGCGCCACGGGCGAGCGTGTCGCCCTGTGCCGAGAGTGGAGCGTTGTGGCGGCGGCCGCGTAGGGGGGGGGGGGATGGGGGGGGGGCCCGAGGTCCATCTCGCCACCCGGGCGCGGCCTCACCGACCCCTCGCAAGCCACCCCCTTCTGTGACGTCATCCTCGCCTCTCAGGCTTCCCTCCGCCCGCACACGCACGCCTGGGGGCGAGGCGAGGGGGACGTCACTGAAGGCAATGGCTTGTTAGGGGTCGCTCAGGCCGCCCCTGAACCACCCTCTCGCAGCGGAGGCAGGACTCCGCCGGCCCGGCGCCCGACGAGGCGGCCCGGCAGGCCGCACTGCCTCCTGCCCCGCCGACGCCTCTCCGGCACGAGGACCTGCGGCTCCCAGGGTGCGCCCGAGGAGGAGACGAGCGCAGACGCCGGGGCTCGCCCGCCAGCGGCGGCGGAGAGGAGGCGGTCGGGATGGACCGTAGGAGGACTGAGGAGGCTCTGTCGGCCTTCTGAGCCCGCCCTCTCAGGCCAGCCTCCTCCGCCTCCTGCTCCTCCTCCTCTTCCTCCTCCTCCTCCTCCTCCTCCGCCTCCTCCTCCTCCTCCTCCTCCCGCTCCTCCCGCTCCTCCTCCTCCTCCTCCTCCTCCTCCTCCTCCTCCTCTGTCCTCCTACCTCCTCCCTCCTCTCCTCCCTCCTCCTCCTCCTCCTCCTCCTCCTCCTCCTCCTCCTCTCCCTCCTCCTCCTCCTCCTCCTCCTCCTCCTCCTCCTCCCCGTCCCTCCTCCTCCTCCTCCCTCCTCCTCCTCCTCCTCCCCTCCTCCTCTCCTCCTCCTCCTCCCTCTCGCTCGAGCTCTGGGGAGGGGCGGCGGGCCCAGGTCTCCTCAACCGCCGCTCTCGCCAAGCGAGGGCGACGTGCAAACGGCGCACGACGAAGCGTGTCGCCCTGTGGGCCGAGAGTGGAGCGTTGTGCGGGGCGTGCCGCGTAGGGGGGGGGGGGGGATGGGGGGGGGGGCCGAGGTCCATCTCGCCACCCGGGCGCGGCCTCACCGACCCCTGGCAAGCCACCCCCTTCTGTGACGTCATCCTCGCCTCTCAGGCTTCCCTCCGCCCGCACACGCACGCCTGGGGGCGAGGCTTGTTAGGGGTCGCTCAGGCCGCCCCTGAACCACCCTCTCGCAGCGGAGGCAGGACTCCGCCGGCCCGGCGCCCGACGAGGCGGCCGGGCAGGCCGCACTGCCTCCTGCCCCGCCGACGCCTCTCCGGCACGAGGACCTGCGGCTCCCAGGGTGCGCCCGAGGAGGAGACGAGCGCAGACGCCGGGGCTCGCCCGCCAGCGGCGGCGGAGAGGAGGCGGTCGGGATGGACCGTAGGAGGACTGAGGAGGCTCTGTCGGCCTTCTGAGCCCGCCCTCTCAGGCCAGCCTCCTCCGCCTCCTGCTCCTCCTCCTCTTCCTCCTCCTCCTCCTCCTCCCCTTCGCCTCCTCCTCCTCCTCCCGCTCCTCCTCCTCCTCCTCCTCCTCCTCCTCCTCCTCCTCCTCCTCCTCCTCGGCCTTCCTCCTCCTCCCCCTCCCGTACCTCCTTTCTCCTCACCCTCCTCCTCCTCCCTCCTCTCCTCCTCCTACCTCCTCCTACCACCTCCTCCTCCATCATCCTCCCCCACCCACACCGCACACACCCACACCCCCACCCACCACCCCACCCACCCACCCACCCACCCGACACACCCATTACCCACACCACACCCAACCCCAAACCCACATCCAAACCCACCACCCACACCCACACCCACACCCACACACCCACCCACACACACCCCCACACCCCCCCAACAAACCCCCCCACACCCCCACACCACCACACACCCCACACACACCCACACACCCACACCTCCCCCCCCACGCACACGCCACACACGCACCACACACACACACACACACACACACACACACACACACACACCACACACACCACGTACACACACACACAGACACAGACACACACACACACACACGCGCACACACGCGCACACGCGCACACGCTCGCACGCACACACGCACACACGCACACACGCGCACATACACACACACACACACACGCACACACGCGCACACGCGCACACACGCACACACACGCACACACACACACACACACACACACGCACACACGCACGCACGCACGCACGCACGCACGCACGCGCAGACACAGACACAGACACAGACACAGACACAGACACAGACACAGACACAGACACAGACACATATACACACAGACGCACACACACACACGCACATACACACACACCTAATGTGAATACTACTCTCCTCTATCCCTGAATCCAGCCCGAGCGGGACAGCTTTTCTCCCGCATTCTGTTTTCAACACACCGATTGAAAAGATCTGGTATTTCATAAGTTTGTTTTTTTCGATCGGAGCGCGTTTGGTTGTTCACGATGTTCTTCCCGCTGCAGCGTTGGCCTGATTTCAGGATCGGCGCTCTGTTCCCGTCGTTCAGAATGGCGCTCTCGCCCCAGCGCGGGCATGCTTTCTAGAACGGAATCCTTCCTCATCCGCTCCTCCGCCTTCGCCTGGTCCTCCAGCTCCTCCCGCTCGTCCTGCTCCTGCTCCTCTTGTTCCTCCTCCTCCTCCTCCTCCTCCTCCTCCTCCTCCTCCTCCTCCTCCTCCTCCTCCTCTCTCGTCGCCCTCCTGCTCCTCCGCTACCCCCCTTCCTCTTCCACCCCCTCGAGTGCAGACAGGTCTCCCGCACAGGACGTCGGGTGAGGCCCGAGCCCGCCCAGCTTGCCCTTCCCCCCCGCCAGACCCCCGACGCCGCGATTTTGTTCACAACGTCGACCCCCAGAGGCCTGGACCCCTCCCCCGGGACCAGCCTGTCATCCTGAGTCGTTTCCTGACGACCCCGAGGCCCGGTAAGGGCCCCCGGGGGCCGAAGATGGCGAGAAGCCTCCCGCTGGGATTTTTGTTCGCAGCGCGAGGGGAGAGCATGCTACGCATGGAATGCATTCAATGGAAATCAATTGCAGTGGATCCGTGAGTGGATCAATCTAGACTGATGAGGCTATGGTGCCTCTTCTGATTTTGAGCCGGCTATGATGCCCGCTCGTGCGGAGGGGGGCGGCCCGCGCGCGGCGACGCCGGCGAGGCCTCCGCGAACTTGCGCACGCGCCCCTCGAGCTCCTCGACGGCGGCGTGCGCCTGGAGGGCGCGGGCCTGCCGCGCCAGGGGGGGCCGCCGGGAGGCCCCAGGAAAGGAGGAGGAGGAGGAGGAGGAGGAGGAGGAGGAGGGGGAGGAGGAGGAGGAGGAGGAGGAGGAGGGGGAGGAGGAGGAGAAGGAAGGAAGAGGAGGAGGAGGAGGAGGAGGAGGAGGAGGAGGATGAGGAGGAGGAGGAGGAAGAGGAGGAGAAGGAGGAGGCGGAGGAGGAGGAAGAGGAGGTGGAGGACTAATGTAAACCAAAGCTTCATAAACGGTGTTGCAAGACACCCTCCCACCAAGTTCCCGTTCCATGTCCACAAGTCCCTGCAAGGATTTGTTTTCACAAAGGGAAGTGCCCCGTTGGAAGACGATCGTTTCAAAATCGTGAGCCGTACCAAAATACCGTTCCTGGGACTCCAGAGCCGCAAGTAATCGTTACTGTTGTGCCCTGATAATCCTTGATCGCGCCAGATCAGTATTCCTGGGACTTCAGGACCGCGACTCAACTTCACTGTTGCGCCCTGACAGTCCTACATCGTGCCAAAACACCACTTCTGGGGCGTCAGCCATGAGTCCTTGAAACTGTCGAGAATTCTTAAACGAGTGCTCGCGGCGCTAAAGCGAGAGCCGAGTTTTGAAAGGGAAGCGCCCTCCAATCGTGAAGAAGCTGGCGCACTTGTTCTAACGAGTGTGCAAGGCGCTCAAGCAAACACAACATCTTGAAAAGGAAGCGCCCTCCACCCATGAAGCTCCTGGAAGCCTTTGGGACGAAGGTGCGCGGCGGTGAGGCGAAAGCCACAATCGGAGAAAGGAGCCGCCCTCCATCCGTGAAGCCCCTGCGAACTGTTAAAAAGAAGGCGCGCGGCGCCAGGGCGAGAGCCACACTGTGAAAAGGGCCCGCCCTCCACCCGTGAACGCCCGCAGCCTCCTATGGCGAATGCGCGCGTGCGTGCGTGCGTTGGTGGGTGGAAGTGGCGGTGGGTGTGCGTGCGGCGGGGCGGGGCGTGGTGCGGCGCGGTGGTGGTGGGCGGATGGGCGCGCGAGAAAGAGGCCCGCGCTGGGGCGAGAACGCCATCCTGAACAACGGAGGCAAAACACCGATCCGAAAATGAGGCCCACGCTGCAGCGGGAGCACGATTCGGAACGATTCGGGAGCAGAAATGAGGCCGGCGCCTCAGCGAGAGCAGCATTTTGAAAAAAACGCAGGCGAAAACCCAACTCCCGGGAATCCTGTGTGTAAAAAAACAGTACGCGGGGGGGGGTCGGCTACTCCCAGCACGCCATCAGGGGAAGAGGGAGAGTAGTATTCATATTGAGTAATTGTGGAGGGGGAGGAGGGGGAGGGGGAGAAGGAGGAGGGGGAGGAGGAGGGGGAGGGGAAGGAAGAGGCGAATGAGGAGACAGAGACGAGGAGGAGGAGGGAACAGGGAAAAGGGCAGTGCCGCGCCGTGGAAGTCGCCACGGCACGGCGATCGAGCGCACGGCAGGACCGCGCCCACACCCGGAAGGGGAAGAGACCCACAACGGCAGGGGCACGGGCGGGAAGAAAAGGAGAGGGAGGAGAAGTGGGAGGAGCAGCTCCGCTGCTTCGGGGCCCGCGTCCTCCTCAGGAGGGGGCCTGGCGCGGCTGGCCTGCGCTTATCTGCGCTTCAGCCGCGGTCGCCACCGCCGCCCGCCACAGTTCCACGGCCTCGTCGGGCGTCAGGCCGTAGGGCTCGACGGCGGCGTCTCGACATGCCGCAGCCCGAGGCCCAGCCAATAGAGGGCGGCAAGCCGCGCCTCCGGCAGCAGGCCGCGCCTCCTCCTGCCGCGTCTGCCCGGCGGTCGCTCGGCTCCGGCTGGCCCTCACCATGGACCCAACGCCGCCGACGAAGGCCGATGCGGCCTTGCCACGCTTGGGGCGCGGGTGCAGCCCGAGGAGATCCGAGGACGTGACGCCGTGGCTCCACGGTGCCTGGAGGCCTGGCACCCGCGGCAGTCCTGGGCCGCCAGGGCCCGGGGCGACCACTCGCCCGCCGTGGCCACCGCGCCGCGGGCCGCGCACACCACCCCTCCTCGGCGCCGGACTGCACCAGGGCGCTGGGCGACCACTCGCCCGCCGTGGCCACCGCGCCGCGGGCCGTGCACACCACACCAGCCTCCCTGCCGCAGGGCCCCCTCGGCCGCGTGGCCTGCCAGTGCCAAGGGCGCCTCCCACGGCCCAGCGGGCGCCTCCCATTCCCCGAGCTCTCCGCGAGCAGCGCCGCGGCGAGGAGGGGGAGCGGCGCGGCGGAGGCGAGCGGGCGCGCAGGGTCCCCGAAGCTGCGCGGCCGACCCTCCGCCGTGCCCTCCCCCCCCCCCCGGCCGCTCCTGACACTGAGCACCCCCGCGCCGCACCCCCTCCCCCGTGCAGGCGCGGCGGGCGCCCGCCTTCCAGTCCGCCACCTCGAGCGCCATCGCCTCCTGCCGGCGGGCGGCGGCGCTCAGGCGGTCCTGGGGCGACGGGGGGTGGGGGAGGGGGAATGGAGGAACGGGAGCGGGAGGGAGGGAGGGGGAGGCGTAGGTGAGCGTGAGGGCGGGGAAGCAGGCTGGGCGGAGTGGGTGAGAAGGTGGGGAGGAGGGCAGGTGGGAGGGAGGGAAAGGGGTGATGAGGAAGGGGGCGGGAGGGAGAATGAGGGGCTGGTGCGCTCGCGCCACAGAAGTCATCCCACCCATCCCACCTATTGCACTGGGGCATTTTGTGTCGGTTGCTTGGAGCGTCCTGGAAGACCTTGGCCCCCAAATGATCGTTGCCAGGATTTGGAGCATCTTTTGCTGCGCAACCGGCAAAGGGCGCTTCCCGCACTGTAGGGGGGGGGAGGAGAAGGAGGAGGAGGAGGAGGAGGAGGAGGAGGAGGAGGAGGGTAAACCCAAAAAGCATCAACGATGTTGCAATCAACCCTCCCTGGAAGCTCCCTCTTCAAAGACCCCTACAGGAATGTACTTTCACTGCTGGAAGTGCCCCGTTGGAAGACAACCATATGAGAACCCTCAATCGTGCCAATCCACCTCTCCTTCGGCTTCAGCGCCGCGAATCAACTTTACTGTTGCGTCCTGACGATCCGGCATCGTGCCAGACCAAAATCCCTAGGACTGCAACGCCGCGAACCAACGTGATAATTGCATCATTACCATGCTAAACCGCGCCGCAACACAATTACTTGGACGTCAACCATGAGAGTCCGACAACTGGGTGTACAATGTACAGACGATTGTGCGCGGCATGAAGGCGAGAGCCGCATGTATACGAAGAGCTGTCCTCCACCCGTGAATCGCTTTCAAACCTTGCTGTGTGATGTGCGCGGCGCCAAAGCAAAAGCCGCAGTTTGAAAACGGGCCGTCCTCCATCCGTGAAGCTCTTTGCGACATCCTAACGCGAATGTGCGCGGCGCTGAAGCGAGAATCACACTTTCAAAAGGCACGGCCTCCAGCCGTGAAGCAACATGTTCAGATGAATGTGCGCGGCGCTACAGCGATAATTACAATTTGAAATGGAACCGCCCTCCATCAGTGAAGCTCCATCAGTGAAGCTCGAAATGTGGGCGCGTGGCGAGCAGGAGTACCCGTGAAGCTCCTGCAACTGCTTGAAACCAATGTGCGCGGCGCACCAGCGAAAACCACAGCTTGAAACGGAGCCGCCCACCCTTCATCCGTGAAGCCCTTGGAAACGTTTAGGACAAATGTGCGCAGCGCTAAGGCGAAGACCACATGTTGAAAAAGAACCGCCCCCGTGAGTGAAATTATTGCAACTTGTTATGACGGCGTCGCGAAAACGAGAAACACAACTTGAAGATGGCTCGCCTTCCACCCGCGAAACTCCTGCAAACTTCTGACGCACATTCGCGCGGCGATGACGCGAGAGCAACATTGCCAACATAAGCTAGGGATACAGTAAGCATACACCATGGCTTCACGAACAGAGGGGGACATACAGGAGGAAGAGGAAGAGGAAGAGGATGAGGCGGAGGAGGAGGAGGAGGAGGAGGACGAGGGGGAGCAGAAGGAGCAGAAGGAGCAGGAGGAGAAGGATGGGGAGAAGGAGCGAATGAGGCCGACGGGGACTCCGTTCAGATTCACGCGCGCCGCGTTCTCACGCCGCCCGAGAGGTCTGCAGGCAATATCACGGCGTGAGGGGTGCTGGCGATGCTGTTGCCACTCTGCGCGTGCGTCAAAGGCACGACAACGTCCACCGTCAGGTACTAGACGCGGGCTGCGACGCCCATGTGGGCAGCGGCGCTGCCGATGCCCTTCTCGCCCTCGCATTGCTCGTGCGGCGGCGGCAGGCCGATGCGAGTGAGCAGCGAGCGACTCCCAGTGGTCCCGCAGGTAGTGGCTCATCTCGTCGTCGTTATCAGCGCATCCTAAGTGGCACGTGTTCTCAGTCATCAGCACGCGCGCGCGGAGCGAGGTCGTCAGCGACGCGGGTCTTCGGCGATGCCCACTAGCGTGCAGGAGGAAGAACGACAAAGTGAGCGCGCCGTCGGAGCCACCGCTCGTCGATACCACCAGGCACTCGCTCGATGCCCAGCATATCCACTGGGTGGTAGTCATGACCAGGAACTGCTTCACCGGGAACGTCTCCTGGATCAGGGCGTGCCTCTCGCGGAGCCTGCTGGCGACGTGCCTCGACCCGGCGACGCCGTGCGCGGTGGGCACGGGCGTCCTCGGCGAAAGGCTCGGCCTGCCCATGAGCTCGGCGTAGCTCTGAGCACATGCCACCAGGCATCCGCAGCTCCAGCGCGCGACGACGGAAGAGGAGGAGGAGGAGGAGGAGGAGGAGGAGGAGGAGGAGGAGGAGGAGGACAGCAGCAGGGGAGAAAGGGAGGAGGAGGAGGAGGAGGAGGAGCAGCAGGAGGAGAACGAGGAGGAGGAGGAGGAGGAGGAGGAGGAGGAGGAGAGGGGAGGAGGAGGAGGGGGAGGAGGAGGAGGAGGGGAGGGGGAGGAGGGGGAGGAGGAGGAGGAGGAGGAGAAGGAGGAGGAGGAGGAGCAGCAGGAGGAAGAGGAGGAGGAGGAGGAGGAGAAGGAGGAGGAGGAGGCGGATGAGTAGGAGGGAGGAGGAAGAGGAGGAGAGAGGAGGAGGAGGAGGAGGGGGGAGGAGGAGGAGGAGGAGGAGGAGGAGGAGGAGGAGGAGGAGGAGGAAGAGGAGGAGGAGGAGGAGGAGGAGGAGGAGGAGGAGGAGGAGGAGGAGGAGGGCTAGCAGGAACATGAGGAATTTGGATACCAGGAGGACGAGGGGAACGTGGAGGGGCCAGGATAGGGCGGCAACGACGATGGAATCGGATCCAGAAATGTGGCCCGCGCTGGGGCGAGAGCGCCATTCTGAACAACAGGGGGCAACGTCCTCGAGGGACATCGTAAAACATGTGTGCGAAAAACAACACGCGAAAGAGGCGAGAGCACATGCGCGCGTTGCAAATGGAGAAATAAAAGGGCTTCAATGAGTACTCGCGAGCGGGGAGAAGGGGGAGGGGATAGGGACGGGGGGTGGAAAAGGGGCGGGCGGTAGTGGACAGGGGATGAAAGGGGAAGGCGGGGGGAGGGATTGGGCGGCAAGGGAGGGGGGAGGGGATGGTGATGGATGGGGAAAGGAAGGAGGAAAAGGGAGGGGGGAAGGAAGGGGAGAGCAGCGATAAGGAACAATAGGGGGAGAGAGGGGGGAAAAGGGGAGAGGGGTGGGGGCGGAGAAGCGGGGCACCGTTGGCAAGCAAAGGAGCAACACGTGTGCTGCAACATTGCCGTGCGCTGCGAGTGTGCAAAATGTGCCCGGATGAACTCTCCCCTCCTCCTCCTCTCTTCCTCCTCTCTTCCTCCTCCTCCTCCTCCTCCTCCTCCTCCTCCTCCTCCTCCTCTGGGGGTTCGCCTCCCTGGTTTGCTTGCCCTCGCTGACCGCGCGGCCTAAACTAGCAGCCCAATCGCGTGCAGTCTCGCGCCGTGTATGCCTAGCAAATCAACCGCGCGTGTAGTATAATGCGAGAATAAACGAACGGCTGCGTATGGCGGAAGGAGGCAATCACCTGCTACATGGCATGGTATGGCCGGGGTGGTGAGACATGTTGGCATGTTCGTTGGGCTTCCCCGCGGTGACGAATGCCGTGGCAAATGGTAACGTAACACGAGGCCAGGACGCGGCAGGCCCTGTCGTTCGACTTGTGACCTCTAGAAGAACATTGCGCATCGCGCTCGGGCCTGGCATCAACGCTGTCGGTCCCGGGGGGTGGGGGCAGGGAAAGGGGGAGTAACAGGAACAAATGGGACGGAAAGGGGAGGAAACGGGAAAGAAAGGACGTGGACAAGAGAGGAGAAGACGAAGAGGACGAGGATGGACACCTAGGGGTGCACTGAATAGTAGGAGAGGGGTGATGGAAGGGAGAGGTGATCACTGTTGTGCCACAGAGGCTGCGGAAGGATGGCGCAATGGTAACGCCTCAAGCTCTGGTTAAACCTCACTCTCTCCTCGGTTTCCCTCAACGCGCCCTCGAGGGTGCCAGGTCCACTTTGGACCCAGACCTCGGAGGGAAACGATATCAACAGATCCTCTAAAATGGAATGGGGGTAGCGCGGCCACTGAGGCCTTCCTCCCCCGATAAAATCATCTTCCGATACTCTACTACACAGGCAGGTAACCTTCTCACAAACTCCTTTCTCGCCCGCCTTGGCTCAAGCCTCCATCTCCCTGCGAGCGTACCAGACCAACCATCTCCGAGCATTTCTCCCGCTTCTCCTTGGTCATCGGCTTGGTCATCATGTCGCTCGGGTTCTCGTGAGTGCATGCTTTGCCGAATCTGAATCGCCCTTGTTCTCGCGCTTGCTGCAGCGCCAGGAAGCGTATCTCCACGTGCTTCATCTTTCCTGGTCCGCGCTTCTTCACGATGTGTAGCGCACTGCTGCTGTCGCTCATCGCGAGCGGTATCGTCTTCTCCTTCCACTCCTCGAGTAGTGATGCCAGTCCAAGAGCCTCTGCTGCGCCCGATCCCAGCGCGCACAGCCCGCTTTCTGCCGAACTCAGTGCCACGCAGCCCTGGCGTCATGACCGCGACAGGACGGTGCGTCCGTGGTACTGCAGGATGCCGCCGCTCGTCGAGACCCTGTCCGTCTTGTCATCGGCCCAGTCTGCGTCCACCCAACACTCCACTGAAATACCTCCTCTGTTCGGAACCAACTGCATCTTGAGTCTCGCGTGCCTGCTGGGTACCGAGCCATCTTCTTCAATCTCCTCAGGTCCTTCTCCGTCGCTCCTGACATGCCCCTGCTCAAAACTCCAACTCCATGTTGGATGTCAGGACGGTGGCTCGCCAACTGTAGTAGCTTCCCCACGCAGGTCCTGTAGCGACTGTGGCCCGCCGCGTCTAGCTTCACCCCGTCGTTCTTCAGGTGCATATCGTTCTTGGTATCGGGCAGTGCTGATGGCTTCGCCGTCTCCAAGCCCAGCTCCATCATGATGTCGTCGATCAAGC